CGCACGCACGCCCACGTTGATGGCAGCGCGGTTTACACTAGCTGCACTTGGGAGCAGCCTAAGCGCTCGTGAGCTGGTGGTAAAGCCAATGTGGTGTTTGTATTCAATGGAGCGCTGCTCGGCCATAAAGAGGGATGAACTCGAGTCATTTTTAAGCAAATAGATACACCATGAGACCATAATTTTGAGTGCAATGACATACAAGTTCAAATATCGCTTTGCATCTCTTGTGTGACAAACTCAAGGGAAAATAACAAGCAAAATGGAGGATAGACATTGAGAAACAGGAAAGACACGCCCAACTGGGAAGGGAAACGGGTGGAGGGAGGGAGAAGGGAAGGCAAGGCAAGGAAAGGGCAGAGCACAGAAAGAAATGATGCAAACAGCTGCTGTAAATGCGGAGGGGTAGAAGGGCTGGAGGGGGCGGAGGAGAACGGAGAGAGAAGTCGTGTTATGGACCACTCCCCACGATGAGTGTGGCGGGCGCCAGCACGCACGGACAATGTGCACTAACAGAACAGCAACAAAAGAATCAACAAATGGGATCCTATTATGGTCGCAGGCTCCTGCACAGAAAGGAAACAATCAGCAGAGTGAAAAGGCAGTCTACGAATGGAAAAGCCTGTCAGCAGACAGAGGAGGAGTATCTACAACACATAACAAACTAAAAAACACTAAATGCCACAGCATAATGTGTACACGTCCCAGAAGAAGCACAAATGGCCCGTAAATAAATACATGGCAAATCGTGGACCGCTCTGGCCATTAGCGAAATGCAAATTAAGCTGGGGAGCTAGCTCACCGGCACAGGCGCCTGCCTGCAAGCGCAAGGGCCTGAGTTTGATCCCCGGTACGGAAAAAAAAAAAAAAAGAAAAGAAAAGAAAGGAAAGAACAAAAGAGAGAAAGGGACAGGGAAAAGAAAGGACAGGAGGGGCTGGTGAGATGGCTCAGTGGTCTAAAGCACCTACTTAGAACAAGCTAAGCAAAGCACAGGGACCGCGGTTCAATCCCCCAGCACCACATGCCAGCCAGCCCGCCCCCTGGTGGGCTGAGCTGGCCACACACACACACACACAC